GGTAGAAATAGGGTTGTTCAGACACCTTTCAGCAAGTGCCCTGTTTGATAAAGGACACACTCTCTCTATAAGGAAATAAACAGTAAAAACTGTGGATAAGAAGTTGGAATTAGTAGTTATTAATAGATTATGATCACAGTCACTTACATTGCAAAGAAAAAATGTAGGGACTTTGGGGAAATTGAGAGGGTCATTGTTGAGGTGATAATAACTATCTTCTATAAGAGTTATTTTTCCAAACATTGTTTTCTGAGATCCAAACTCCACAAGAATACTGGGACATATTTATGGCGTATTTTGATTTCTGACCCAAGCTGAACTACGTAAGAGTGAACTCAGTCGAGTGACACAGTAAAACAAATCTGACGTGAGTTGTGGCTTTCCCCAAGCAACAAAAGTAACTTATGACTGCACTTTCAAAACTCACAACATTCCATAAAGCTTTATAACTCTCATGGAATCTCTATCTATTGTCTCTTCGGTGTCTCTATAGAGAAAATGTGACCAACTTTCTGAAGTTTTTCATGTGAATGTCCTATGAGCATTTACTTACCTTTGGAACCAACCAGAGATTAATCTACAAACAAAATTGGACTAGAGTTATTCTTTACAGATTGAGCAACGTGAGCTGGGATGTTGAAAACCTCTCCACCTTGACAAGAAGGGTTATTGCAGAGCGGTTTTCAGTGTAAAAACTCATAGAGGTAGTTTAGATGCCAATAAAACCAAACCATTGTGGCTCAGGGGATAGTAGTCATACAGTAGTCATAAAAGGGACAATACTTTACATAAAGCCGTTCAACATTAGTGTAGCTCTTACCATCAAAGTTTGGACTTTTGCACATTTAAAAGTTGTCTTTGTAAAATGTGAAGTTGTCTTTGTAAAATGTGAAAAGGTGTATTTTACTCCACTTGGATGGCATGCATTTCAATGCAGGTCAAAACACTCATATGTGCAGTTTATTCCAAATGCCATTTCTAAAGTGCTTGTCATAACGTAACTTTTTTCCACAATTGCAGTCTCACTGAACCTGAGCTAGCCTTAAGAATCAAGGCTTGCTAAAGACAAAGGTACACAGATACATTAGTAGCATTCTTTATTTTCACTGCCTTTTACTTATCACTTCATCCTTGACCCCCCTTCACAGATCCATAACACATAAATGAGCCAAAATGTTAATCTTCATACAGGGGGCAAAGTCACTGGGCTATAGCATGAGAAATAGTTTAATCCTGAGGTGCATCATTTCACTGCATCTCAACTTAAATGGTCAAAAGATTGTCCCTCACAGTTCAATGTCCAATAAGTCCTTGAGAGACTTCAAGTGGAGGGGGAGAGATGGCAACTTTTGTGAAGGTGAAGCAGGAAACAGAAAACAGGGCAGTGGCAGTAGAGGGGTTAGGGTTTGTTCTGGAGTTGAAAAAGAGCTGTAAATAAATACTACTGGCTTTGAAATCTGATTGATGTGTCTTTTGGGATGCCCCCCAGTACGAGAGACCTACTGAGTCTGTGGCTTTCATCCCTGACCGAAAATCAATTGTGCAGGATGTACGAGGAGCAGCAGCTCTCTGCCCAGTGATCTCTGTCAGATGCCCAGGTATCTGTCTCCTTGATAACAAAACATAGGCTTAAATTAAACTTTTTTCACAACTTTTGCTAGTGTCAAATTCAAAATAGGGGTTGTGAAAGCAGTTGCATTCAGTTAAGATGGATTTGATTTATGTACATTCACAATTACAAAGCCACAAATATGTGATACCATCGTGTGTGCTTTTTTAGGACAAATATTATGGCATGTTTGTCAATGTTTCAGCTTTCTTCAAAATGAGAATGGTAGTAATGTACTGTTAAATGTGCTGAGAGATTGGCTTTATATTACAATGTCTTTGTGGAATCTGCATCCCTATCAGAGAATGTAAGCAAATTCTTGCTTTTGTCCCAATGGCTTCTGTTTATTAATGTGTGTTTAGGATTCATGCAGGTTGCAGGGATTTCCTATGCAAAGGTAAGGTGTAGGTGGATAATTACCTTGATATGCAAACCCCATGGATTTTTCCTATATGGAATGTGGAAATGAGTTCAGTTGATACAAAGAAGCAAAAGGGGAGTTTTGTCTCAAACAAAATGAACCTATTATAGTCTTTTGCTGGCTTGTTGTTGAAGCGTAGAAACAATTAAGTACTCCAGACAAATGTTTAAACTAAAGTCCTTACTTATAACTCTACTTGATGTTATGCGTACATTTGGGAAATTGAATACATTTTTGTCTAAATATTTGTGTTTGTGTGGGAATGGATTGGCTGAAGAAGTTTTTTTTTCATCTTATCAAACAGAGCACCAATATATTCACTCGTGCTTATTATGCTGGTTGTAATCACGTGTTATAAAACCACCCATCATCTCCAAGTCAGCTAAGAGAGCCTTCTGAAAATCATCACTAAACGTCAGAAAAATGGCTCAAAATCAGCATGGCAATTTGTCATCAATCCAGGAGTGTAACTATAGACTCTTGTGGACCACCTGCAAGTGTCAACATGAGCACAATTGAAGACAGTGCCAGTCTTAATTACACCCAATTCTACACAAATTTCCAATTTCCTCGTTTCCACTTTGTGTAAAATGGAAAAGCTAACCCAAGAGGCTCTACACGAGCAATTACATGAGCTAGTTATTATTCTTTACATCAAATCTGCATGCATGGATTAACTGAGAAGGGGGAGAATCAGATTTGATACTTGTATAAACAGCATCTTGCCCCCAATTTACACCTAGTGTCATATTGTCCGTGGATTCTGATACAGATAATTTGCCATTTTCAGTAAATGTGCAAATGTGTTATACAATAGGATATAAAAAAGTACAATTGTCACAGTGAAACCAATCAAGAACAGTTTAAACAAAAAGTGCAATATCATTATAATGCTCTTTTCAAACTGACTGACAGTTTGTGGAAAGAAGCTGTTAGCATATCAAATTTAGAGGTCTCGCCTTTCAGGGAATTATATCTTCTAGCATGGCTGTTCCAGGGTGGCCAAAAAGAGTCATTGTTTATTTGAGAGTTTATTCATAAAGAACCTCAAGAACAGGCAACTCACAGCTCACTCTGTAGAGTAGAGCACCTTGATGCTGCTTTGGTGTATCGACGTAGACAACAGGTTACGTCCAGTAAAAGCTTAGGGGTTATAAATATGGGTATGCTGTATATGATGGACCACTACTTACTAGACCATTAAAATAAACTGCTTACAAACTATGCTTTCAGAATGAAGAATGTCTAAACCAACTGCATTGGATAATTCTCTTTCTGGGTCTACCCCCACTGGTCCAGAGTGGTATTGCTAGTGTGTCGAAATTTCCCCACTGTGGGACGAATAAAGGAATTCTTATCTTATCTTATCAACGCATGTGCTAATATTTTTGAGCCGGGACCCACCCCCATTGATCAGAAGCTATAAGTGATGACTCAATTCGTCCACTCTTTTCTGCAGTCTTTGGGCTGTGTGTGCTCAAGCCTATGGTGGTATGCTATCTCTTGTGTCTGTGACAAGTTCTGTGGAGCTCAAAGAATGTATATTTTGTGGACCTCTCTAGCCTTGATGAACAACCATATAGACTGTAAATATTAACTGACGTAGTCACGTCTATCTATGCCGTTGAAGCTAATGTGCCATCACTTTCGCTGTCTGTGGGCAGTTCCAAAATGGCCACGAGGGCTGAAAAATGTGAAAAAACACATTTGCGCATGCATCAGCCGGCACCAGCCCCATTCTTTTGAATTCAAAATTCCTGGTCTAAAAAAACATACTCCCTTCAGCATTTACACACATGTGGAACATAGCATTGGGCCAAGAGCCGACTTTTGGACCATCATATATAGCCTTTTCGAGAGTTAAGAAGATGCTATACATTAGAATTGGCTAATTCTTATTCAAGATTCACCCCCACTGGCCGGGGTGGAATTGCAAGTATCTTGGCACATTTCATTTTGGACATTTTTGAGCCGGGCCCCGCCCCCACTGCCATCTACATGTAGATTTGATCATGAAAGGCTGCTATACTATGTCCGTCACTTCTGTCAGTCTCAGTGAAGGCAGGCATACAATAAAGGTACAAACATATTTCCTTTTTCTACTTCATCCACCATTTTGGCCTATTTATCCTGGTCTGGTCATGCTTATGTGCCCCAGCGCTGTTCCTTGAAGTCTTTTGAACTGTCCAGGGGGACTTTCGAGAATAGCAACAATAAAACTCACCTTTCATTTTCACTTTGAACAGTAAAAATACCAACATTTAACATCCCTAAATGCAAACTGCAGACACTTTAAGCCATGCAACTAGGATAGGCACGCCATGGGTGCAACACTCAGGAAGAGAGTCACAGGCAATAGATTTTTCGCCGCAAGTCTATATTTGAATATAACATGCTGTTTGACATGATTTAGACATTCACCAGACGGAGAAGAAAAATAAAGATTATTAGAATACAGAAGGATGTTTAAAGACATTGCGCAAAACAAATACCAGCCCAGACCATCAGCATTACACAGTATATTGGATCATGCTGAGAGGTTGTAAGACCATTAAATGTTAACTGTGGCTGCTCTACAAGACAGGAATTATGAGATATAATAAATAGTGTGAACTATTAGTATTTTTTTTCCATAGCCCTGTTCTTGGCAGTTTAACATTTTGGAATCTTTTCATGTAAGATTTACATCAAACCATTTGGAGACGAGTAATATGATAAAAAAGACAGCTGTAATATTTATGGTCACATTGTAAAACTCTAAAATGTCATATGTCGAAAAATGTTTGACTGACCAATGCAATATGAAGACCTCTACTTTTGTTTGAGTAACTGTGCAAATCGAGCCCTGTAAACCCGAATTATTAACACAAAAGTATGCAAAATGCTAATGTTTTTATTTATTTTTAATCTATACAGTATTTAATGAACTAGGGGCCTCATTTACAATTCAAAATATGTCTCATCCGGTGTCTACACGGTGGTTAGATCTGCAGACATACAAAAGGATAAGGTACACTTATTTACAATTGTAAACCTAGTAAATTGGTCCTCTACATTTGACCCACTCTTCCAATGCCACTAGAGCAACCTGTCAGGAGCAAAACGGAACTAATACCCATAATTTCAGATGTATTTTTACGCATGTTTTTAATTTATTTAATTGCTTTTTAATCAATAATTGAATAATGCAGCAGCTGTCTAGAGCAAAAACCGCAGGGTCTCTCCACTAACTAGCCAATATCATCACCCAGTTCTGGAGAGTATAGTTCTCATGAATCTTGCTACACTCGCTGAAAACTTAATTTGAATGTTGTTGAAAGTGCCTGGATTTGCTATTTTTTATGGGGCGCATTGGGCTTTTAAGAGACGGAAGTACTTATTACGTCAGGTTTCGCTTCCACTTTTTGTGCAATTTTTTGTTTTGGTTGGGAGAAAATGCTTGATAAACGACGCCCTATACTGTGTATCAAAAGTGAATTAAATCGAGAATAAACTCAAAGTAGTAGTAAATATTATCTCTGTAAATCTTACATTATAGGACCATTCTTTGTCAAAAAAGGCTGTAGAGCAGCTACAGAAGAATATAGAAGATGTGCCACTACACTGTGCATAGGACCGAACATGTGTTACAGAAGTGAAAGAAAATCCACACACCTAGAGTTCGGTTACCATAGTTAGCACCCGGCCACCGAGAACTTGGACTGGAAGGACTTTGATCACCTGCAATAGTGATGGGTCATGAGAAAGTGAAGAAGGAAGAAGGGAAGGATGGAGAAACAAAAGTGGATACAGTGAGTAACCCAACAGAAGTTAGACAAGTCGGAGGATTGAAAATGAATTACTTCGTCCTTAAGTTCAGAAATATGAATGATTTCATGTACATAATGCTAAAAACACAAACAAAAATGCAGATATAGAATGGATTTGTTTGAAGTAGTAATTATCAATATGAAGCTGAAGAGAAATGTTTACGGAAACCTGGAGCAAACTGTCCTTTTTGCCATAACTTGCAAGTGATTAGCAAACAAACAACAGATCCGTTAAGCAGTAGGATTTCTGTTTAGTTACCCATGCCCCCTGTCAAGTTCACTAACTGTGACCTTACCGTTGCGCGGTGTCCGTTTTCTTCGGTCTCTGAAAGCTGCTCCAGATTGAAGAGCCTCCATTAGGCTGTCCATCACACCTGTCTCATCCCCCTCTGTAAAAGAAGATAAAGACATGTACATTAAGTGGCTAATAATACCAGGCTCATCTCACATAAGCATACAGACATCTTCAGTGAGGACCAATGGAAGCACTCCATGCCCTCTGAGTAAGGAGTGCAAATAATCAAAGCACATTATGCCACCACATAGAGAGCCTCAGCAGTGAAGTGTTTAAACAATCCTTTCATGAAGAGAGCTGAGATGGAAGCCCGTCACTCACATATGTCTTTTCTACAGATAGCATAGAAAACGCACATTGAAGCTTTGAAAACTACTACTGGCAGAAGTCTCGATAAAAGCATCCACTGATGGTCATTGACAGAAATTCTTTCTGTGGCTAACGCAGGAGAGCTAAGTGCTCTTTACAAAGATTTAGTGTGGAGCCGCTCAATATGGAGGCGCTCTATCATTGTTCAGTCAATGACACCAGGGCTGGCCTTGGAAAAACATTCCTCCTGCCCACTATTTAGCTGTCGCAGAGAACTGTGAAGCTCCGTAGTTGAACACAGACATAGTTGAACACTGGCAGGTAGATGATGTGACAGGACAAGAGGCCATTGTGTGATAAGCTAACCGAGTACATATAATGACAAAAAGAAAAAAAAGGAATTAAAATATAGCTTCTCTATCCGAGTTATCCATCTTCATGGCTGAATGCTAATGAGTCAGAGGGGCACATGTTCAATCATCCAGGCCTAGAACAGACATTATTTTAAACTAGGATCATTATAGTGACTTATTGTGGAGCTGCAAAGTTGGCCATCAATTCTTTTGCATACATGAATGAACTAGCTTTCTTCCACCCCAGTGTTTTTAGGACAGCCTGGGTTTGTTGTCACAAGATGTCGGAGTTTGCAGCAACAGCCGAAAAAAACACATTTGAAACGCAGTGGAGACAACGGCCTCTGCCCCAGACTGTGGCAAAAAACAATCTTGACAACAACTTTCACTATATGAATTTTAAGTTATGAGCATGGATAGTTGGAGCAGGACCTCAGTGCAAATGCAAATTGTGTAAATCTCTGGAGTGGTAACTTCCTGGTCCACCTGGTGTATTCACTGCCTCTTATAGTTCCCCTCTTTCCCCTCTAAACTTAATTTGGAAGTGGAAATGAATCCCCAAAAACGTGTTTTCGAACATGTTAGAATTGTCAGTTGCTATGCATTTGAAGAACTCAATGTGCTATCATTCAAGAAAGACAGCGGTGCAACTAAGAATAGAAATATGTCTTATGCAAATTAAAAACACATCACTTCACTTGTACTCAGACTAATTTAGCACTTTATGTAGTTCTTCCACTTTCTTCCTCAAGTCCTTCCCAAGGGCTACTCTGAAATCAAAGTATCTATTCCGGCTGTGTGCTGTTCTTAAAAGCAATCCTGATTAAATCAAGCTTAATTAGACTGGCTTTATCAGAACAAAACCAAAAGCTATGCCGAGCTGTGCTTATCACAAATTGCAGCACTACACCTAAGATAGCAAATGCACTGGCCTGTCAGTGGCGGTGTGGGGGAGGCAACACAGTGAACTCTCTGAGGCCCTGTTTACACGGAGACGCTGCGACAGTGCCTGATAGTGGTGGTAGTTGTGGTGAGAACATGACAGAAGGTAGAAAGTGTTAAGTGGCAGGTAAACATTTATCTGCAACCACCTTGGAACCAGAAACTTTTTGACAGCTCCTTCTTCACTGCCTTCTCGTGGTGACCTAGACATCACAAGGGGCACCTGACACTTTGATCAATTTGTCCTACTTCTCGCTTAACTGTAGCACAATTCATCATGTCTAATGACCATAACTTGGGAGCCCTTGAAGACTTGAGTTTGGGGTAAATGAGAAAGACATAAAAACACAAAATGGACCCACATGAGAAGCATACACTCTGTATTTAAGAACTACATTAACTGCATTTAACATTTTCACCCATATTCAAATGATTTGAATGCACGTATCCAGTAATTCTTTGAAACAACTCAGCTCATACAACTGTAGAACTGCCCATTGTATGCAACATTTTCCACCTTATTCCTCTGATTCACTCACTGTCTTATTTTGAGCTGTAAAACCTGGGGCAAATATTCAAGTACTTCTCATTAGTGGTGCTGCAAGATTGCATGCTGGGGAATTACAGAAAAGCTCACCTTTCATGCCCAATGATCTTTCTTGAGAGCAAAGATCACCTCTGCTAGCAGGAAATTGCTTTCTTAAATGGGTTAAGATCGGTTAAGACCCAAGACATTGACAAACCCTTCCGGTGATGAAACACCTTGGTGGGCACCTCAACTGACAGCCCCCAGGTGCTTTAATGATCCTATTAAAGCTTGTGAAAGGGTGGAACATGGCAGTGGCTTTGGCACTTTTTTGCTACTTTCTTAAAAAGCTTAAACTTATCACGCACTTTTGTGAAACGCAACCTTCTAGTGCAAAGATCTGTAGCTCACTGCCTTTTTTTTTTTTTTTCTTTGATCCCCTCCAACATCCAATCTCCAATCCCTCTCTACTTAATACAGTTAATATTACAGGTGGCAGCCAGACCAAATATAAGCCATGGGGATTGGCCTGATCTGTTATATACAGACAGTAAGAGCTACATTTTCTAATTAGAGGGATAACAAGAACAAGATACTCTCAGTAGAATTGCTATAAAACGACAGACTTCATATTAGCTTTTAGGAGTACAGTCACTCCTTTGGGAGCCCGACACTAGTCAGGTGTTAACAGTCACAAGAAGATAGAGTGAAAATAAGTGCAGATATGAGAGTCACTACTGCACATGGAAGGTGTGTGTTTTAAAGAGAGAATATGCATGGGGGAAATGGAAAACAGAGCAGCATATTTTCTATGTGCAAGGTAGACTGATTAAGTGACCAAGCTACTTCAAGCAAGAGGACACACAAATGCACTACAGTCCACTGATATTCAATTACAAAATGCAGAGAGCTATGCAAACCCAATTCAACAGGGAAAGACAGATACAAATACACTGTATTCAATGGTTTGATCAAACATGTAGTTTTTGGTGATCAGATTCCAGTAAAAAATATATTCAGGAGGAGTAGCATTTTTTTTAAATTCAAGCCTTTAGGTATCTTTCCCCCAGCATTCAGCTATAGCCTGGCCACCTCAAAAATATATGAACATTGAGTAATCCGTTTTCCTTTGTGGCCCAAGGACTGTTCCGTGTGTTTGATTTTCTAATAGTCCGATTCCAATTGTCTGATATTCTTATCTGTTATTGTAAAATAAAATAAATCTGTGTCTTGAGTTAAGGCACACACACACAAAATTTAGATTGATCATTTCCATACTCATTTTATATCACGTGTTTTGTTTATATGTGTAGTAATAATCTAAATATAAATAACAGTCTGGCATAAGAAAGGACATGTGCTATATACAGTATTAGGCTTTGACCTACCATAAATACCCTCCCCTTCTAATGGTTAATCCCAGACTCTCATTTGCACCATAATGAAATGTAATGAGCACTCACAAGTCGTGTGCTTGATGAACGTCTGCTTAACCTCACAGAAAAAGAGGATTAAAGACAGAGGAAAGTCTGCAGTGGAGCAGAACAAGTGGACCGATATAGTTATTGTTGCTACAGCCTGGGATTGTTTTTGAACACATTTGAGCCCATCTGTTCCTCCGCACAAAGTCACCTGCGCAATTAACCTGAACCATTAGGCGTGAAGCAAAGGCCTTAGAAGAGGGGAGGGTTGCCGCTTTCTAGCCAGGTGGAAATGCAAGTACTTGTTTCATCTCCCACACCTGCTCTCTTTTCACATTTGTCCATTTTTTAGACAGGGGACTTCTGGTTCTGTTGCGTTATTCATCTATGTAGCCCAGTTTTGAGCTCTGGGAAGGTACTGTACACTATGAAGGTGCAAAGAGGGAGAATTAGTGACACCGAGTTCACACACTCAAAAGCTTCAAGGACATTTAACAGTTTGTTTATCCCACTGAGAACACATTTCCTCAACCTGCTCATGAACTCAAACTTGAATAGATACAAAAAGATGTCAAATAAGAACTGATAATGGATGGAATATGTCAAATGAGATGTATATAAATAAGCTAGTTATAAATTTAAAATGAAAGATGTGTTGCAAGGCCATAATGTTGACTTAATGTCGAGGTATTATTAATTTGTTTTTGATATTGCTGGTCTTCTACCTCAACATCTTTTACTTTTCTAGAAATCATGCTAATTTTCCTAAACTGCATATAATAGCAAATGTTGGATTCTTCAAACATGGTCCACTTGACCCACAACTTCATTTTGAGTCAACGTACAGTTAAACATGTTCATGTGAAGCTGCCACAGTTCAGCAACATCAGAGAAGAGGTCATATTTTTTTTCCACATATTCTTCTGAAAAATTAATCAAAATGGTTTGATATAGTTTGTCCTCATTGGCTTCTGGTGATAAAATATCCCCATGCCTATTACAACATATTTGTATTTCACGTTATCATCCCACAGATACCAAGTTTCAGCTTTCTATGTGAAAAAAACATAATATAAAAACCTCTCTCATGCCTCTCCCTGCTTCTTTTAAGATGGTGCTGTGGAGTTATTTTGCAATATAATTTATCTCTGGTTATCCAATTTTTCACCGACTGAATGCTGCATCAAGTTTGACTTTTTGTTAACGTTCAGGGGGGCAACTTTGAGGTAAATGATCGGACAAAAAGTAAGAAATATAAAATGTTCGGCCGTGCAAGGTAGTGGAAGCTGTAAAAAGTATGACTTTTAATGCCTGGGTTTGATACGGTGGACTTCCTGTTAAGGTACCCTTCAGTCACTTATATTTGGCGATACCAGGCCCTTGTCAAACCTTGCCTTCTTCTTGTATGTTACGATTTACACAATTCTGTAATAGTTCATTCCCTCCCTTTTATTGATTAAAACCACGTTAAAAGTTACAACAAAATGTTTGGAATTGATTAACGTATATTTCACAGTTTGATTCCCTAAACGCTGCACACTAC